CCCTATAAATTCAGCTAAGTCCTTCAAAACTCTTACTGGCTCGCTCTTCAACTCCTCATACGTCAAAAACATTACCTTATTTTTGGCCTCTCCAAACTCTGCTTGTGGTATCCCAAGATGTGATCCCAAAACGGGCCACAAGCACTCCTTCCTTCGCAAAATCTCTCAAATGATTCCTCAACTGACCTGGGCTCTTGGGCTTGTGGTAGTAACTTTCTGATGAAGTGCCACAGTGATGTGAACATATCCTTTGGATTTCTACACAAGTACACGATCTTACAAGTTGACTGCTTCACAGACTCTGGCAATGAAATGTATGGCATGTGGCTTGCAAAGAGCCTTGGTGATGGGAACGAGCACAGATCGGGGATGTTTTTATGGATGTAGAGATTGATATCTAAAAAGGGCCACATCATGAGGGTTTGCAGTGACGAGAGGGTGAGGGTGACATTGGTTCTTATGAAGATTTGGATTTGGGTAATGGATCTTGCGATTCAGAATCGCATAGGCTAAGGCTTTGAGCCAAGTGGTGCCAGATTTTGGAAGGGTAACAATAATTATGTCAGAGTCACGAGCTATGAAGTGTTTCTGGCTATTAAGGATACCTTGCAATTGTTTGGTGGTGTGCCAAACCATTATATTGATGGATGGTAAGTGGTTGCCAAAATGTATCGCAAGGTAAGGTGGCAATGAGTTGCTGTTTTCTTGGGTTAATTCGACTTTCCGGAGATACTTGGGAACATTGGAGTTCTGAGAGTTTTCTGCGGCCATGGTTATAGTGAGAACACTTGAAATCAATGATTAAGTCATGAAGGTTTATATATATGTGTGTGGAAAAATCAAAAGCATGGATATGTTCTGCAATGCCAAACAACAAAGGTAATGGACAGGTGGAGCTTTGCCTTAGCCCACCCTCTACATCCATATATCGTGTCTATATTAATATTCACAACCACGTGGCCGATATTAGATATTCCGAAAGATATAACTTCCTCAACCCCCCCTCCCAAAATATTGAAAGAAGATATAAATTAAATTTAGAATTTAAATTAAATATGATCATATAAGAACAAAGTTGCATAAATGGTTGCAAGACATGCCACGTTGGATTTGAATCTTGTAGATAGCTTAAATTTACTCATTCAATGAATATCTCAAGTATCGTTATTCAATTCATCGATACTTTAAAAATTATCAAAATATATTTTATTTCAAAAATTTAAAATAACTCTCACGATCATAACACTATTACATACTGTCATGTATAAAATTGAGATTCAATATTTCTAAGTATCATATGATAAAATATCTAACAATCGTTTTGATTAAATTGAACCGTTGGTACGATACACAATGAATGAACTTGTATTACTAATCAAATCCTATGCGTACCAGTTCAAAGTGGCAATTTGTGACAACAATAGATAATAACATTGATATCTAAACTATATTAAGTTACGCATAATTTTACTTCCCTCCGTTGTATAATGCTAACTCATGCTAATATTAAAAAATACAAAAACTACGAAAAACTATCAAAATTGATGTGTTATGTAGAAATTAGTTGTCATGGGGTTTTACTTTGATTTCGATACACATTCATATTAAATATATATGTCAAATGATCTCAGTGGATTTAGATTAGTTTAGGGCCCGAAATGATAATATCTTAAGTTTTCCAGAAAATACATGCAATATAATAATAAAAAAAGCATTACAAAAACAAAACCCAGTGACCACTTGTCCACTAGTCTTTGGCGTCAGACGGAGCACATGTTGGCCGACACAACAATTCATATCACTTGCATCCCCCATCTTCAAAAAAGACAAACAATTAATGAACCAAAGCACAGTAGTATACCAGTACAAATTCACAATTCACCCCACTTGCCATAAAGAAAACCTGAACTTTCATTATAAAAAAAATCTGAACGAAAAAAAATAGTTGTGATACTTTTTATAAAACGGTAAATATTTGCAACGAATATGATATAATAGAAAATTTCGTGTAACGCTACTCTATTCGTTTCAAAGCATAAATTATTCTAAATAAGTGTGTTTTTGCTAAGACAATCATGTTGAATTATGCAATATTCATGTTCACATTGATCATTTTCATTGGCTCTCTCCACTTCCTTCCCTCACATAGGGGGCCGTGTGAAGAGATTTTAGCAAATTTTTAAGAAGCTAATAGCTAACGCATTATTATTTATTTATCTTTATATTATTTTTTCATTTTTTTTAGTGAAAAAATTATATATTAAATTTTGTAATCAAGTAATTCTAACATTTCTTCTTCTTCTTCTTCAAGAAAAGGAGACAAAAATAGCATGAAAAATACCCTAAAATCACTACTAAAAAGCAACTTTTTATGTTGCTTTTTAATGTTAGTTGAGCAAAATCCATTGTTAAGAAAAGGCAATGGCAATTTTATAGATAAGGCTAAGTGTTTTAACATTGGTTATATGAATAACTGATGTTAGAGAATATTCCACGTCGGCTCTTTGAATAACCGACATTAAAAATATTAAAAAAATAAAAAAAAGAGGAAATTTGAAATTTTCAACATTAGTTTTCATAATATCGACGTTGAAAAGAAAGAACATCGGTTTTTCAAAAAAAAAAACAAATGTTGTTTCTCTTTAAATTTAATTTCACTTTGCCCCCCGTTCGAACAGCCATTTCTTTTTTTTCTCTTCTTTCTCTCTCCTCTCAAGTTCTCTTGCTAAACTAGCCCAGCCTTTGAAGCTTCAACTTTGTCCACTTTTGTCATCGAGGAGCTCCGTTCACCATACGTCAACATTTGTTGGCCATCTCTCATTTTGTTGTTCGTAGTCAAGCTCTGTTGCTGTCAATCTTCATCTTTGAAGCAAATCCTTTGTTGCCATCTCTTGTGCATGGGTTCAAGTGAGTTCTTTGATTTGGATTGCCATTTGTTTTCTTCCTTCTTCCCTCTTCTCCCATTGTAGGTGGATCTTCTTCAGATGCATTTTTTTATCAGTGGATGATTACTCCTTCTTCCTTCTCCCTTATTAGGTGTTACTATAAGTGGGTTTTTTGAGTTGTATTTTCTTCTTCAGTAGATTTCAAATAAGTCTCATTATCATTTTTCTATTTTTTATTGATTTATGAAAATTATTGTAGTTGGATTTGAATTATTGTCTTCATATTTTTATTTTTTGTTCTTTGTAAATTTTTATTTTTTTTTTTGATATGTTGTTTATGTTAAGGGGAGAAATTGAAATTCTTTGATTTGTTGTTGAGTTTTTTGATAAAATGAAATTTATACTTTATAAGAAGAATTAATTTATTGTGATAAATTTGTTGTGTAATTTGGATAGTTAAGGTTTTAGAATTATTATGTTTTCAATATATTTTTTTCAATTGTTGATAGATAGAATTTTGTGATTGCTGAAATTTAGGATATCCTATTTTAAAGGAAAATATATAGGTTTTAAGTTCTAGATGTTAAAAACAATTTTTTTTTAAAAAATAAACTTTTAACAATGGTTAATGGAAATCATTATTGTTAAATAACTTTTAACAACAGTTATCTAGAATAACTGTTTCAAATAATGGTTGTTAAAAGTTAATTTAAAAAAAATATTAATTTTTTTGCATACTTTCCACATCGGTTAGTTATATAACCAACATGGAAAGTGATTTTTGACATCGGTTAAATAATCGATGTTAAAAGTCTAGTTTTCACTTTTTTTACTTCTCCTTAATAACCGACATTAAAAGTTTAAAATAACAGTTGTTAAAAGTCCTTCTTGCAGTAATGAATGCGAAATTCAATTCCAAAAATTTTGACTAGGGGTAGACGTGCACAACCAAGGGCGAACATTCATGTCCATGGGCAGATGAAAGGAAAAAATGATATTTAAATCATTTTAAATTATGTATCATCTTACCTAATGAGATATGGCATAATTTAGATGGATTCTAAGCCTATGGGGGTCAAATTTATTATGAATAACCCTCCCAAAAGCCTCTCAACACATCCAATTTCATGTCTAATGAGATAAGGCATAATTTGGATGGATTCTAAGCCTATGGAAGTCTTTTGAGTTGGGAGCTTTCTCTCTTCTTCTTTTTCTTTAGATTCTTTTTATGTCTTTTATCTGGGATTGAATTTTGACTCTATGAATCTTGCTAAACTCTTAGTCTGGGTAGGGAGTAGCCTGACTAGAATGGATTTTTATTATTTATTTGATTTGAATTATTTCTCCATTGAACATTGAATTTTTTTGTATATGAAATTTATGTTTTCTATTATATTTATCTCTCTCATTTTCATTACTTTTTATATATGTGGCTAGTATATAATCTACTTGTGGGTAGTTTGATGAATTAAAAGGTGAAAAACTTACCTAGATCTAGAGAGATAAATGTAGATAAGTAAATTAAAACTAATTTAGGAGTATGAGGTGGCTTAGATCATAGCTTCATGGTTTAGTTAGAGAGTCTAATTTAGTGAGAGCTAGATTTAACTCTAATTAATTACAACCTACTAAAAGATAATTAGTACACTTTAGAATAGTTGTCACTAAAAAAAAATGGAAGATAATTAACTGAATTAGGATAATCCATCTTGGTATATGAATCTTGATCCTTGGTTCTTGTTTGATTGGTTGATTTTGTTTTTTTCATTGCTTTATCAATTTGCTTATTTATTTACTTTATTTAATTATTAAATATTTTTCAAAAATCCTTATTGTTTCCTTAAATAATAAAGCTCACTGTCTCCTTTGGGTTTGACCCAGAATACTCCGAATTTATTAATATATTGATATCATGCACTTGCGAGAGCCTATCAATGATTTATTCCAAAATAATAAATAAATAAATAAAGTCAAGCAACATTTGCATCAAACCGGACAAGTTACTTTTCTATTTTTTATTTTTAATTCATATTTTAAATTATAATTTATACATATTTATGCCTAATAAGTATTATGAAATGAAAAAAATGCAAGCAATATGTATGAATTGTGTGTGTGTGTATTTTAAAGTTATAAATTATAAATTATGAAATAATTATATATATATATATATATTGGATGAAAATGATGTAATATTGATAGATATTATCTTTTTATTGTATTTTTTTTTGAAATTTAAATACTCATTTTTCTTACTATATATGATTTTTTTTTTACTTTAAACATATAATATTCAAAATATATCAATTTATTTATTCATTGAACCATAAACCAGTACCTTGACCGATTCAATAGCCAGTTCGTTTTCCATAACATTGATTAAAACAATAATGATACTTAATTGTCACATAATCTTTGTGTCAACAAGATCAAATTATATTAAAGTAAAAAAATAATCCATATAAAAAATTTCGATAATTTGGTTGTTACAGAAAGAGGTAATCATTTTCTTGAACATCATCCCAAGTCCCAACCATAATCTCTTAACATTGTAGACTACGTATAATTTGGTTGTTCCTTAACCACACATATGACTTATATCACAATTCCAAAACTTTAAAAACATGCACGCGCACTACAAAAAAAATAGACTTTTGTTGTCACCGTCAAAAGTCCAAAAGTTGCCGCTAAGAGTTTTTAATGGCGACTTTTCACTACTAAAAGGTTGTCGCTATAACAATTGTTGCTAATAGATTTTGACAGCAACACATATTGTCGCTGCCAAAAGTATACTTTTAAACGTGATATTAGGTTTTTGTTGCTAAAAGTATTTTTGGTGGCAACAAATATCGCTACCAAAACTTTTATTTTAAGAAATAATAATTT